CCTGCTGGAGCTAGATGATGGTGTGTGTGTGTGTATGTGTGTGTGTGTGAACGCCAAACACACACACACACACACACACGTGCAGTCTGGATGCGCAGCTCCTGCGTGCGTATATGATCCAAACTGTTCCAGACGCGTCGTGACGCACTGGCGGAGATAGGCTGGGGGGGGGGAAACAGAAGGGGGGGGGGGGGGGGGGGGTGACTCCCAGCAGGTGTCACACTCACACAATGGCTTTAATGGGACTTAGACGAGCTGTGGCAAGTGTGATATATTTGTACTTTTTTTTTCTCTTCAGTTTGTTTGTGTTTGTGTCAGGTTGAGGTTCGTCGTCGCTGCTTTAAAAAACTGACACATAACCACCTCTGTATCTGTGTATCTGTGAGCAGCAGCCGTGCGGGCTGCCTGTCAGTCTGAGTGTGTGTGTTCCTCACAGATACTGGGGGGAAAAGGCGGCAGACTGGCACTGCTCTGTCATCCTCTAACCAGCGTAGGGTGTGTGTCTATTTTTAAGAAGAAAAGTAAACCTCTGCAATCTTGATTGGCACACAGCAGTTGCCAATCATGGTTCCAATTGTGTAGGCTGATATGTCAGTGTAAATATAACGTGCAACAGTCATAATAGTCGGCCGAGGCCTTATCAGGCCGTAATGAGACATTCCCTCACTCCGTGACACTTTATCATCCACAGACTGGCTGCTGTGGTCTGCTCAGATAGCCAGCTCTGCTGCCAGAGGTCGGACGCTCTGGTGGATCCACTGATGAAATCGCTGGAAAAATCTAATTCTGTAGCAATCGCTGAATGTTCGAGTACAGGTTCTGCTTTTTAGAAAACGCCAAAAAAGTACAGAAAGTACGACAGTTTTCACACCGCGTTAAAAAGAAAATACAACAAACCAGATTATCCTCACAGATGTTGGACCAGAATCAATGACAATTTAAAATCAATTTGATTCCCACTTCATCCACAGGCTGTAGATACAAAAACATATTTATCTAAAATGAAGTTAGTTTAGTTTAACATAAATCTAACAATGTTTTTTTGTTTTTAGTTTAGTTTAACATAAATCTAACAATATTTTTTTTGTGTGAATTAATCCAGTCTCTAATCTCTGCTGGTTTCATCGTTCATGTGTTTGGACTCACAGTTTTTGTTTTTGTCTTTTTAAAGACAGAGACATTCACTCCTCTGATTTAAGTCAAAAGTTTGTATTCGCATGACAAGTCTCGGAAAGGAATGGCAGCGAAGTAAAGCGGGATTAGGAGGATTTCACTTTCATAAAAGAAACATTTTAAAGAATGAAAACGGCATGTTGGAAATATTGATCACTGAATATCAAGTAGCGTTTCACCCCGAGGCAGTTATGTGGCATTTTGGAATGAAATAAGCTCAGTCCCCCGGGATTAGACCAGTCTTGGCCTCCAAACTCAGATCCAGATGTGCACCAGACTAGAGCCTAATCCTCGGCGGAGGCTGTGAAGATTCCGCCATTGTTCATTGTCTTTAATTGTCGGTAACTCATCGATTGGTTGTCGTACAGTTCAGTCTCTGCTCCAGATGATGACGGTCGTTGTCGTCGTCGTCGTCGTGTGGAGCAGAGACCGTCGTGGTGACAACCGCTCGACTCTGCTGTGACATTTACATGTAGAGTTCTACACCGGGAGCACGACGACAAAGACACGTAATATGTCAGCCAGCCGTTGTTTGTTGTCTTTAATAAACTTACTTTGCTCCAGCTGAGTCACCACGGATGAGTCTGAGTGGCTGGGACGACCCCCCCTCTCGACCCCCACGCTTCTGTTGAGACGGTGGACGGAGCCTGAGGCCTAGAGCAAAGAGAGAGAGAAAGAGAAAGAAAGAGAGAGAGACAGGATCAGATATTTTTGGGTGCAGTGATGGTGAAGAGATAAAGCTATAAAAAAAAGAGCAACAACATCTGCAGAATGAGTTTTGGAAAGTTTCAGAAAACATTTAGAGTTTGTCAGTTTGTCGACGGCAGCGGCGTCACATGGTCAGTCCGCTGCGGCTGCGGCAGCGTTGTCCAAGTCCAGTGTGGGCAGGATTGAAGTGGTCCTAACATCAACAGGAAACAACAGTCACTCCATAAACTGCTCAGGATGCCAGACTGTGATATGAACCATAACTGCACATAATTGCTGTAAACAACCGCACACAGGAGACCTGAACATCACATCACGGCTTTCAGTCTCATGTCATTACAGTTTCACTACCGTAACGTCCTCCGTCAGTGAAAAACGAGCAGCTGAATATTGTGTCAACCTTCATACCAGTTCTTTATCCACAGACTCTCCTCTATATCGTGGCTCATGTACAAGTACGCAGCTAACGTTTCCCTGTTCCACCTACAGGAGGCACTGTCAGTGGTGAGTGAAGACCAGTCCTTATTTGAGCCTCCGTACGCTGCTGCTGCCCCTCTCCCCAAGACAGACATGACTGCATCTGGGACACAGGACTATGGACAGACCCACAAAATCAACCCCTTGCCCCCACAGCAGGAGTGGATCAACCAGCCGGTGCGGGTCAACGTCAAGAGGGAATACGAGCACATGAACGGATCCAGGTACGAGACCAAAAAAAAAAAACACTCTCTGTGATTGGGTTTCCTTGTTGTTGTTGTTGTTGTTGTTCAGGGACATGTGGCGTTCCTGTTACTGCTGTAGTTCATAACATATATCGCAGTAATTTACCAAAACTTACAGACTGAAATTGTTTTTTTTACACTTGCCATATTCTTTTTAAAAGTAGGGAAAAAATTTTTATTCTGCAAAAAAATGCTACACAACATAAACAACAGAGAGGAAGTGCAGTTCCACGGGGCTGCTGTAATGAAAACATAACCATTGTAGAGTTCAAGTTTGTTCATTTTATATTTATATATATAAATAAACAAATATATTTACATATTTTAAATCAACGTTGTGCTCAGTATTTGCTTGGATTTCCACTGGTTTCTGTGACAAACTGATGAAGAAAAGTGTTTGGTTTTTTTTCCCGTCTCTGCAGCAAAGAGTCTCCCGTGGACTGCAGTGTGGGTAAATGCAATAAGATGGTGGGGGGCACTGACACCTCCCAGATGAGCTACGGAAGCTACATGGATGAGAAGAACGTCCCTCCCCCAAACATGACCACCAATGAGCGTAGAGTCATCGTACCTGCAGGTAATTCAAGATTTAAGAAAAAAAACAACGTGTATTTATAACAGGTACTTCTGAGTATTTCTCAGCACCGTTGTACTGCAAACAGAGCCCCCCCCCTCAGTACCAGTGTGGTGGGTTTTTACCACTGCTGTGTGTGCGTGTCTTTTATATGCGTGCCATTTCTGGTGATTTATTATTTAATTCAGCATGTAAAGCATTGTTCCAGTCTTTTAAATCACCCGTGGGAGAACAGATGAATGTGTGCGAGAAGTGTGGGCGGATTGTTTGCCAAAACTTTATATTTCTTAACCGCTTCAGCATGTGAAATAGACCAAGTCATGCTGTAACAAGTGCATTCTCAGGGTCCCTTTGGAAAAACAGCCACTGAACGTGTGAGTCGAACGGACGGCACGTAAACCAGAAAACGACTGGAACAAGTAGACGGTCGATGTTCAGTTAAAATAAAATTATATTAGAATTATACTGTCTAGTCACTGGCTAATGCTAAAAAATAAAACAAAAAAACATTTTGCCTAAAAAAGATCATGTCCTGATTATAAAAATTATAGGTAAGATTTAAAGGTTTTTTAAAAGTAGTAGCATCTGTATCAGTGGTTCTCAAACTCTGGCACGTGGACCAAAAGTGTCCCCTGGGCTCCCTCTAGTGGTACATAGGAGAATCTGAGGATTATAGTACTAGCCGTATTAAAACATGGCTAGTAAATAAGCTAACAGTATCACCGTGCTGGGCCGAACACTGTAGGCCTGCGCCCCAGTGTTTTAATGTCGGCCATATTTGTAGTTTTAGCAGTGCTGCTTTTTACCCTTTGTGTTCAATGACCACTAAAAGCCACCGTTTGTTCTCCAACATGCTCGCACAGGAAGGACCAGGTGAGAAATGTTTAATCGCAACACCTCATTTCACCACTGGATGTTGGCAAACATGTCAGCGTACATTTAAGAACATTGGTCTCCAACCACTGGGCTGGGGACCAGTACTGGGCCTTCAATCATTTGCTACTGGCCAGCATCGAAAGAATTGATTTTTCTATGTTATTTATGTTTGACTGCATTTTGTCTGTATTTTATTTTGAAAAACAAATCATTACCATCAGCGTTTGACTCAGCTGTTGTTTTTGTTTTTTTAAAACAAAATTTAAAAAAATGATTTAAATAGAATGAAGCTGGAGAGGAGAGACAGTGGAAGTCTCCAAAACTGAAACTGAAAAAAAAAAAACTGCCTTCAACAGAAACAGCCAAGAGTCCAAAGATAAAAGCACATCATATAAAACAATAATTATAATTATAATCAATTATATTATGACGCACAGTGGTGTTTTATGTGACCTCCTCTGCAACTAAAACCATACTTCAGTCTCAGACGAAGTACTTCTTACTGGTCGATGTACTTCAGTACTTCATACTGGTCGATGTACTTCAGTACTTCATACTGGTCGATGTACGTGTTGTCATTTCTTTTCAACAAACTGAAAAACAAAATCCATAGGACAGAAAGGGAAGCAGTAAAGACCACCTCGGTGGAGTCTGCACAGTCACATGGTTATAATGAAACCTGTTATATATAGCAGGAGCCCGACAATACTTACTTCTTGCAGTATATAACAATTTGGCGACTAAATTGCTGCCTTCCTCCTCCTCCTACCTTCACATCAAAGAGACGTAAAACATCGTCTCCTCTTTTATCTCAGCTGTCCGTCCAATCATTTCACAGTCAATAAAATTCTTGCTGCTTTCCGCAGACCCATCACTCTGGTCCCAGGACCACGTGCGCCAGTGGCTGGAGTGGGCCATCAAGGAATACGGCCTGCTGGAGATCGACACGGCCATGTTCCACAACACAGACGGCAAGGAGCTCTGCAAGATGAGCAAGGACGACTTCCTCCGACTCACCAGCATGTACAACGCCGAAGTGCTCCTCTCTCATCTCAATTACCTCAGGGAAAGTAAGTACGGCTAATGAAAACAAGGAGGCCAATCAGAGCGGAGAGTCTAGAGTGATCACTTAATGAATTACTTAAAGACTGGCTGGAACGAACGCTTGTGCTTCAAAACAGCTGCTCCACAATTCATTATGTTGGAGTGGAACAGAGAACAAAAAAAATGAGTAAAACTGCTAACGCGCCGAGCCGAAAAATGTCGAGTCCTGAATTCTTTGATCGTCGCTGCCAGAGACTTAGTGTAAGTTGAAACCGACGTTGAACCAAAACTAAAATCTCTACACTTTTTGAAAATTGAAGCTAAGGGAAAATGAAAAAAAAAAAAAAAGCCAAACCCCAGTCAACAACACGACACGTTTCTGTCGCCACACCATATTCACATTACCACCAATAGTCAGAGGAATTGCTGTTACTGGAAGAAATTATTTTTACATCATGTCTGTCCAGAAAACCAGAGCTCAACATTAGAAACCAAGAGTTTTTCTTTCCCGCTCCCTAGATAACATCAGCCCTCTGCCTGCCCCCCCCCGGCCCCCCGCCCCACACTTTTCAAACGCCTTATTCCACATGCTCCAGTCAGAGATGAAGCCCAGGTGCATTGCCTCAGGAATCACACTGGGCCTGTGTGCTCAGTACGGCAGAGAAAGTTGATTTGCAATTTGCAACGCAGGCAAATAAATTTGAGACTCTCGGCTTTGAAGAGTTCTTGACGAGAACTCTGGTTTATTTGTTTAAGCCTTAAAAAGAAACAATTTTCTGAGCGATGACTCAGAGCGTTTAGTTCCGTCGAGGGTCAGAGACAGATATTTAGACGACTGTTTTCATGCCTTAATAAACACGTAATGAACTGGAAGGCAGCGTTACATCCTGCAGGTGGCAGCACACACAAATCTTAAAATTGATACTGTTGTCACAATACGTGATGTATTGACACAACATGTATTAAATAGTATTAAATATATAAAACAATATACTAAAAAAGTATGCAACGCGATCTGTCGAACAGAAAGTGAGCGGAGCTTTTAGGTCAGCAGCCCGCTTCCAATGACAACACTGTCTCCTGCTGGCCAGTGAACAAAATGTCACTCATACATACGTCAAAAATGTCCCAACACAAAAAAGGTGAGGTGTAAACGCCTCATCCATCCACTGTGATGCTAGCTGAGAAGCTACATTAGCTTCTCATCCCTAGCGTGTTGTATTGCACCAGTGTGAGTGTTTAAATGACCAGTGGTCCCAGTTCATCTCCAGTTCAGGTCACTGTAAGAATTATAGAGTCAGACGTGATGTGACTTTCGCGGACATTTCCAGAACCGTTCGCTCCATCACTGGATTCTTTGCATTCTGCTCTTCGCTTCGCCTCTGGTCAGTGTCATGACATGACGCTGGGTGGAGTGATGATGGCTCGACTAAATTTAACATCACTCCCAAAGAAATGGGTTGGACTTCACCGTGATGTAATGGGAACTGTATTTTGTGGGTGTCAACAGTTTTTTTTTTGGTCTGGGCAGAGAGAGATGCTGTCATGAGTATAACGGCCTCATTGTGCTGCGCTGCAGCGGGTGGATCTGTCTGACCGCCACTGGGAAGACTCCGCAGAGCAGTTTTCATTATGACCACTGGCTGCGGGACTTAGCCGCGGCTTAGGCGTGCTGCACCGCAACTCTGCCCGCCGCTGTCCTCCTTCTGATTTAGACTTTGTATGTCTTGGCAGTAGAAGAAATGTCTCGGGAATCCTCTCCACTTGCCAGATGAAATTGCTTTGGATGTGTTCCCGACAATCAAAGTAAAAAAAAAAAAAAAAAAAGAAAGCTTCCTTAACGTGCTTGGACCGACTGACCTGTTTTGAGGCAGGGATTAAGAAGTGGCCAGGGTGCAGCTGAGCACCTGAGCGCTCAGTGAACGAACGTCTGAGGGAGGTTGAGTCCCAGCTGGGCCTCAGGTAGGAGAGGGAAGGTCGACGTAGACACCGCAGGGCTGACGGTTTGGAAACTGATGCCATTCTCTCGTATTCCCCGCAGCACAAACAAACGCATTCATAGATGAAAATAACGCCGTCCAGAAAATAGACCTCTGGCTACACTCCTGGGAGCTGGAGCCGAGCCGAGCTTCCAAAATACTAAAACACAGAGAGAGGAAAGAGGAAAGCCTGGAAGTATTAGTAATCACAGGTCACGTGACGTCTTCCTCTCTCTCTCATCTCACATCCTCGACAAAAAAAAAAAAAGATGGATGGACCCACAGGCAGGCAGGTCTTCGGTCATTAACGTGCTGTGCTGTACATTTGGTTCTGGTTATCGAACCTCTGATTAACATTCCTCAGAGTCATTAAGTGCTGCACGTGTCGTGTCATACTTCACCACCGCGTGCAGCCATAGCATAACAAAAATTCTCCGCGTTATGTGCAGAGGTTTTGGTGGACACCCAGGCTGCTGGGACCAGGAGTACAGTCTGCACATGTGTCTGCAGCAGCAGCAGCAGCAGCAGCAGCAGCAGCAGCAGCAGCAGCAGCAGCCGCAGCTGCTCAACAGTAACAGGGTAGTTGCCTGTGCATTGTTTTGGCCTCATTGTTGGTCACTTATCCAGATTTTTATAAGTGATGGCCGCCGACTCCCCAATGTGCTTTCAATTTTGGGTGCAATTTGAGAATTTGTTCAAATTAGTCTGTCAGGGAGGGACTGTCGACTGTTTGCTTTATCGCACCCATGTAGGTCGGTTTGATACCACATGTGCTGGAAACAGAGCGGAGCAGGAAAACCTCAGATGACGGGAGGCAGGATCCAGCAACACACAACACATGGGGGGGGGGGGTGATGGGGGGGGGGTATGGGAGTAGGGAGAGTAAACAACATATAGACATTTTTTAAAAAAAACAAATCTATAAAATAAATGCGACTGTAGAAAAGGATAGAAACGACTATTTTAGGAAAAAGGATGTGAATGCGTTTTCGAGGACGTGCACGGCGGTCATGACTGAGTGACTTTTGAGAGTAGCAATAGTTCTGTTTCCCAGCTGTTGTGTGCCTGGATGGATATGCAACGAGGGAGTCGAGACAGACAGAAAGGGAGAGAGAGGGGGAGAGAGAGAAAGAGAGGGGGAGAGTTACTGTACGTCGAGGCTCTCTCGCTGCAGCTCACATCAGAGTGGGGGACATTCTCCGAGCCCTCAATAGTTTATACAGACCATAAACATCTGGGCTCGAAGGCTGAGTGGGGAAAAAAGGAGGTCTGGAGCTTTTTCTCTCACCCTCTCTCTCCCCCTCTCCCCTTCTCTCTCTCTCTCTTGGTTCTCCTCTCAAAACATTTTTATTGAGCTCCTCTCGCATTAGTTTTTTGAATTGGCAGATTATCGCCGCCGCTCAGCGCCCCGGCGACCTGGCCCGCTGCCCTCTGCTGTTAGCCACCAAATACAGGACTGTCTGTGGCAGTTCACTGAACCGGTTGGCTTCAAACCCTCACCCTCACACCGTTTGGCACCGAATTAGAGCTAAATACACGGCTGTTATTTTAGACCGGTGAAAATATGTTCCGTTTGACGTCGTGGTGATGAATGGATCCAGATTAGAACACGACTTAAAGTCAGAGTTAGTTGATTGTTACAGTTCTCTGGTCGCAATAAAAAAAGGGAAAAACGAACATTGTCAGAGGTCAAAGGTCATCTGATAGCTGAATATTTGCACCAACGTTATGCAGGAAAGACAAGATTAAAATAAGTTTGAAGGAAAAGAAAGAAAAAAAAATCTCAGTTCACTCCACAGACCTTCCTGAAACTGAGACGCAGTCGTCCGACTCTTAACCTAATGCAGCTGTGATCCTGTTTAGAGAGAACGCACTGGTGCGAAACATTGAAATTGTCACAGAGCGATGCGGACGACAGCTCCGTACCGTCAGCCCACAGGGGGCGTGTGCGGACGCAGCACGGCCGGTGACGACGGCTCTGTGGAGAACTGCCACGTGCATACGGGGCAAACAGCACGCTTGCTATGGAATACCTCCAAAGCATTGGCTGACGGCAAGTTCAACCACAACGTCTCCTTTTCTATTTCTGTGTGTAGAGGACAGAATGTGAGACGAGTGGGCGTGCAGGCATTTTTGTCTGAAAGCACTTTTACCCAGAGCTGACGGCCCGGTGACAGAAGCCGAGCAACCGAGTCTTTATAAGGACTTTTGTTTTAATACTGCGCATTTATTGGTTAATCAATAAGTCGGGTAATTAATTACTTTTTTTAAGGTCCAACACACTGTCTTTGTTTGTTGAACACATTATAAAGGAATGTTTTTGTTTTTTTAAAAAAAAAAGAAAAAAAGAAGCTCTGGTTTAATTCTACAGGTAGAATCACACATCTTGATCTTGTCGCTTACACTTACACTCCCCAGCAGGGGGTGCTAATATTTCTTTGAAAGTAAGGAAAAGTTTATAGGCCGAGGCCACCAGAATGACTTACTGTGGTAATGAGTCAGTAAGTTTAGGACTAAAGTACACAAGAGACTGGACGGAGACACGGAGACATGGAGACATGGAGACGGAGACATGGAGACATGGAGACATGGAGACAGAGACAACTATTTCACATTTGCAGTGTGAAACTCCAAGATTGCTAACTGATCTTTGGAACTGTCCAATGAGACATGGAGACGGAGTACATCACACATCCATCCATCAATCAATCAATCATCCATCCATCAATCAATCATCCATCCGTCCTCCCATCCATCCATCCATCCATCCGTCCTCCCATCCATTAATCCATCCATCTTCTATGAAATTCCTTTTCAACATTTTGGACGAGTCACCCGCGACCATCTGTCGTTCCCAGGAAGGACCGGAGTGAAAATAGTTTTCAGTTTTAGTTTTGTTATGTAATCAGACAGACTCCGTGCAGATGTGTGACTGGAAGCACAGTGAAAACAGAGGGTCTCAGAGTCTGGACACTGGCCAGTCCACCCACCCTGCTGTCAGATTACCTCCACAAGTTTGTTTTTGGAGAGAGGAAGAGGCCGTCCAAATAAATAGGCATGACTCCCTCTCTCTCTCTCTCTCTCTCTCTCTCTCGCCCACTCTCTCTCTCTTGCGTTATGTCTCCCTCATCCGACCCCCCTCGTCCCCCCAACTTCCCCCGCTCCTGCTCCGTCTCACTCCTACAGCAGTCCTGCATTTGTCTGTGGGATGGTTTGAGGTTTTCTCAGTAATGCTGCCTGTCTGGGTCAGCCCACACTCAGTTTTTTTTTTCCTTTTCCTGACACCCTCTTCGTCTCTCCTCTCACACTTTCTCCATCACTCCGAGGTCGGCGTTCCGTCGGATCGCACGCTGCAGTAACGGAATTATTTTTTTTCTACCAGGAGCTGCGTTTGATTGCCGAGCAGGGACCCTGCCTCACACAATGGCTCCCCTGTTCTGAGGCCCCCAGGTTTCTAAACTAGACCCAGAGCCCTGGGGGGGTGGGG